AAGACAAAAAATAGAAGAAGAAGATTAGAAAGATTCGAAAACATACAAAATGAGTATGAGATGAGCAAGAGAAAATATTATAATTTTCCAAAACATATCTTAAGATTGTTTAAAGGTTTTAAGACGTACGGCGACATATCACCATTGAACTATAAAACATGCAAACGCAAAAGTGGATAAATTGGAAAGAAATGAATAACGGTATCCTTTCGAACGATATATGACGATTGACTTGCATAGATTTTCGCCAGTGTTGAAACCGTAACTGATAGTCTATGTTGGTGCGCGCAAATTCAATTCATATCAGTGCGTCTAATAGAATACGTGGCATAAAACCCCTCCCTACGACATATATAGAATTCATGTTCATCACTCTTCATCAAGCTGCCTACTTCAAAAACTATAACTAAAATAGGTATCAAGCATTTCGTTGCATTTCTATTTCGAAGCTCTACAGATAACTTACATTTTTATCAAGACTTGTCACAATCGTGGAAGTAGCTAGAAAAAGAGAGCGAAAGAGAAAGAGAGAGATAGAGAGAGAGAGAAAAAGGATATCAGTATAATCTTAAGCGTAAATAATCTTTAAAAACCGCCTTATGATCGGTATTGTTTACAATACGTCTGCGAGCCTGCACTATATATTAGTCCTAAAACTCTGAAAGTCAATCACATGAATTTCTGATTAAACAAAGATATTGAAGTTATCGTTATCAAGGCTGGCCTTTATTTATCTTCTTAATGTCCAAATCGAATTCACTCCGAATTTTTTTTTAGAAAAGTAGAGCGAAAGAAGAAAAGTGCGCTACGTGCTCTTTGTTAAATTACGTCCGGGTAATCATCAACAACCGCTGCTCGATCGACTAAATCTCACTCAACATTCATATTTAATCGAAGTTTCCTAAATATGTTACACGCCTTGCTCATATCTTTAAGTGTGCTTTTGGAATTATAGGAAATAAAAATCTTAAAACGATTCATGGAAAAGCGTTTCGAAAATAAATGCTCGAAATCCTCCTCAACTTCATCAGTGTTGGTCAATCAACGTACGCATGACCCTCTTATCTGTTTAGATATTTCTAAGGACCATATCTAAAGCCTACTTAAGAAAACTTTGTCACTTTTAGAACATAGTGCAAGCATCTTCATTAATGCGCTCTATATAAAATTGTTACATTGCATTTATTGCGACTCTGTGTCGAACAATTCTTTTCCGTAAGCTTACCCATTAAACTCAATTCAAAATTTGATAAAAAGCTAAAACTTAAAGCGGACAGCACTTAATTAACGACCATACCCCAAATTTATATATGTACAGTCAAATGTCGGTATTGGGCAAATTACACAAACACTCGCTAAAGCACGCTTTAGACGTGACGTTATGGTTACATAAATCTTTTTAACTTACATTTATCTAAATTGGTTCTGAGATAATTTCACCGCGTAATGGCTTAAAAGCTAAAGCTAGATTTGTTGTTCAATTCTGCTCTGCCTAAAAGGACAATTCACGAGCTTTTGCATTCTAGGTAAAAAGGCGATTCAAAAATCTATTAACTAAAATCGGCCCATTTGATGTGTTAAACTATTGGCAAGAAAGAATAAAATTAAAAACAATTCCACCGACCTTAAAGGATTCTAAAATCATGTTGACCAGTATGACTGGGCTGGCTGACCTAGAACCATACCGCGAAACGATATTCTTAGGTAACCAATTCTAGATCATATCGAAATATCCCAAAAAGTTAAGAGCAGGGCACCAATTCTTTCAATCGACATATTAAGGATCTTGCTTCCCACTGGCACTGGGTGCATATGTTAAAAGAGGAACTGAAATGCGTGATTTATATACAATCGGAATATCGATAAGTTCACTTATACTGCGCCATAGGATTCATTTGTTAAAATTGATATACTGCAGAGTCTACTTCTGGAGCACGAAAATTGTAATGAAATACATATTCACACTACAATGAATATCGTATTTTCTTCGAAGATCTTCAATTGAATCGACTAAATCCCTCTCCTGCTTTTTACATAATCAGCATAACCCGTCTAACTTTCGTTTGTGTTAGTGTGAATGAAAAAGTAGAAATAACAGAAATTTTTGTAAAAGACCTTACTACGCTTTAAAGTTTCAAAAAATGTTGACGATCTTAACGTTACGCTCATTTTTTGCTAACATTACATCACTGTTTTCATAGAGCTCGGCTCTTCTCTCTCTTACTCCCTTGCACGTTTTCGTAATACTAGGCTTCTATTCACTCTCTCTCTCTCTCTCTCTCTCTCTCTCTCACCGCTTATCGTGAGTTTTCCTAATGCATTGATTTCTTCTTTCCCCTTCTCTTCGCGAAATTCCGTGTCGGAGTAGACTGATGCTGCGTAGCTTGTATTGCCTTGAGCCAACAACAAGTTAGAAACTGAACGAACCTAATTATTTTTGAAAATTTCTGATTAGCGGCTATAATGAACTTATCTGTCTTCGCCATAAAATTGGCTTTTTGCCAAACCATTTGCCGTTACACAGCTCATCTCTCTTTACATTGTTGTCTTTCACTCTCGTTCCCTTCTTATGATCCTTGCTTTCTTCTGAATTCTTCTAATTTGCAGTCTTTTCCTCAATTCCGGGCACACTTTTCCTTCCTTTTTCTCTATCTACATTAGATTTTCTAAAAATGTTATTTCTTTTTAACCCTTAACTTTCTCTCTTTTTTCTTTTCTTTCACTATCAAGAGCGAAAAACTATTAACTTCTGCTACTGTTGGTTAAAACCGAAATGGTATTAAAAATCATACCTAAGTAATTAATTTAGAGAGCTGAAACTACATCTTCAGTAGCGCTTTATCTTTTCCCTCATGGGCATTGTCTTTCTGTCATTCTTTTTTTCTTGCACTTATACGCACTCTCCCTTTCTCCCTGTCACTCCCTCTTTTTTATTCTCTCTCAAGTTCTTTAAGTTTCTGAAGTCTTTGGTCTTTCTTCTCTGACCACATCTCTCTCTCTAGCTCTCTAGCTTTCTAGCTCTCGCTCTCGCTCTCTCTTTCTCTCTCTACTTGTCTATCGATCTATAATTTAGCTAATATGGTAAATGTATACAAACTCCACAGCTTTGAAGTTTGATGAAGCGCAGACAAAGCTAACGAATAAAGAGAAAAAATTGCATTTTTTTTTTCATCACACGTTCTTTGCTTGCGCATCGCAATAAATTCGTATCAGATATGAAAAAAAGAAAGCGCTTAGTAGTACGTATCTATTCACCGCATAGCATTGTCAGTTTTTGTAATTGAATTAGTGAAAAATCTGCTAAAACAAGGACTGTATAGTTATTGCTACACAGCTGAAGTGGCTTCTGTTTACCTTCGCTCTCTTCTCATCTCTTTATCGATTCGTTTCTTCTCCTTTTACTTTATCTTTACTTTACTTTGGTTTTTGATTCTTTTCAATTATGTAATCTCTTTTCTCAACACCCTTACCGGGTGTTTCATATGTACATTTTTATTATATACCAAATATTTTCTAATTTGTGACTTATTACCGGGCGTTTTAGTTATTTATCTTAATTATTAAAGTATAAATAATAAATAAATTAAACAAAAATTGCGAGTTTCTGTTATTTGACGTTATATGGTTCTTATTTGTTATTTATGGTTTTGTTGTTGTTGTTTGTTGTTTTTCTTTATGTTTTTCTTTTGTTTTTTTCTTTCTCTTTGTTTTTTAATCAGTTTAAGGAAAAAATTTAATACACACAGATTTTTGTTTGTTAGTTTCTATATATATACATATATATATATATATATATATATATATGTATATGTATATATATACATATATACATATATACATAATATATATATAAATATAAGAAGAGTAGAGCTAGGCGTTGAGTTTTTCTTTTGTCTTTTTTACTTCAATAATTGTAATAATATTGTGTTGTTGTTGTTGTTGTTTGTTGTAATAATAAGAATGAAAATTTGAATAAATTTTATTACTTTTTTGTGTTTGTTTTTTTTTTTTTGTTATATAATAAATTCAAATTAATAAATTAGATTAATTTTTTGTATCTATTTGTGCTTGAGTTTATGATAAATAATTTATAAATTAAAGGAAATTGAATAATGGAAATAATTTTGCCTTTTAAATTAATTACACACATACACAATTTAGATTATAAATACATTTAGTTTATATTTTATTGCATAATGTTAATTAATATATAATATAATGTATTGATAATAATAATAATAATAATAATCATAATATAATAATAATAATAATACTTTTATATGGATCTCTAATCATAATCATAATGATTAAATAGAAATATTTTCATATATGTTATTTATTTATTAAAAGTTATTAATAAAAGAAATCAAAGCAAAAAGAAAAATAAAAAAAGAAAATTTTTTTATTTATTCATTTTCTTTTTTATTTATTTATTTATTTATTTATTTCATTTTAAATTTTTTAACTGATTTCGCTAATTTTCGTACGGGTTTTGCTTTTCACGAATATACATAAATATATATATATATGTATCTATGTATACTACACATACACATATATACACATGTATATGCAACATGCAACGTATAGCGTCTGAGAATTAGTTAATATTCGATTTGCTAACAGATCTTCCGGTTAGAGACTTTCAGTTGTTTTAATTTTTTCATTTCTTTCATTCTCTAAATTTTTCTTTATTTTCTAAATAACAATTAATTTTTTTTTTCGTTTTTTTCCTTTTTTTTTTTTTTTAATAAATTTGTGTAAAAATGTTTTTCTTTTTTTCTTCTCAAATTAAATATTTTTCATAACTTTTTTTGTAAGTAAATTTTTTATTTAAAATTGTGTGGGTTAGAGATATAAATGAAAAATTTCTTAAAAAAACAGAAATTTGACTAGAGTTTAGTTTCTCATTTTTTTATTTTTATTTATTTATTTTTTTTTTTTCGCTTTTCTTTAATAAATTTTCAAGTTTGTTTATATAGAAATTAATTTTGTTTATGTTTAATTAATTAATTAATTAATTTATATTTTTATATTATTTAATTTTTAATTAGCTTAAGAGGTTTTGGTTTTATTGGTCTTAAAGCTAACTTGCAATACACGATTGCCTAAAGTATAACCATTCAATGATTGTATAGCCACAACCGCTTCATCATAATTAGTCATGGTTACGAAACCGAAACCCTTACATTTGCTAGTCTGTAAATCGCGTATAACTTTAACCGATTGGACGGCACCGAATGGTCCAAATAATTGCCATAAAACATTCTCTTCGGTCTCCGGTGCCAAATTATAAACAAATATACACCAACCGGAACCAGTCATAGCATTACCCGGCAATATTGAATTGGCCAATAAATCACCAGCCAAAGGTGAATATCTAAATGTAAAAAAATATATATATATATATTTGAAAAGCATGTATAAATATTATCATTAAGTTTTTCTTCATCTTTTTTTTTTTTTCTCTTTTCCATTTTTTTTTTTTTTTTTTTTTTGCATAAAATCACCTGCAAATACATAAAAACGCAAAACTTTTAATAAATCAGTTAAATTGCTTAAACGCCTTGTAATAAATTATTTACAAGAATTTTATTCGATTTAATTGGACTCTGTTTCGCTCTTTCAGCGGGTAAAGCGATTAAACATAAAAATTCTTTCTTCGATTCCTTTTGATTCCGTTTTCCATTATAGTCTCTCCTTCTTTTCAATTTATTTAAAGTTTTGCGTCTTCTTTTAGTTGTTTATTGTCTCTTTTCATTTTTCTTATTTTTTTTTTTTTTTTTTTTTTTT